AAAAATTCATTACTTTCTTTTTTTAAAAGAAAACCAATTCGCAAACGAATTTTCATACTTTGGTTATCTACCATTCTTAGAAAAACCTCATCACAACCCCAAGATTTTCCTTAAGACAACTTACCTGATTTAAATGTCAATGTTTATAAGCATGTTGGTTTTTTCACTGTTCAAGAGTGAAGTGATACGAAGCTATTTATCTGAAAAATTCTTGAAGCTTACTTTTAGCTTTTTGATCATAAAAACTTCCAGCCACAGCAGACAGAACTCTTTAGCTAAAAAAAGAATTCTTTCCTACTAGTAATAGCTACCAAAGTTAAACCAAATCTCATACCTCAGATTTTTTACCATGAATAGTCTGAAGAAAAAACCTAAACCCCTTTCATTGACATCTCATAAAAAGTATTATTAGAATGTTTCTGAAGCTTAACTTCAGACTAGAAAAACTGGTAAGCTTTTAAGTCATAGCTTTCAAGGAGAATGAGGAAATAAACTCTGGTTTTAAAGATCTAGAATGCAGTACAACAAATTAATGTTGTTCGCTTCAAAGTAAAAAAAGAATTCAACAGTTTCCCTAATGACCACCTTCAACCAATCCGCTGACTACAACACGTTTTGTACTTCAACCATCCAAAGTAGCTTTGATTTACATCTTTTCCTCTGTTAGACGAATCCTGTCAATATGAATTGAAAGTCAATATAACTTGCAAAAGCAACTAGAGGATCATCACTGAAATTAAGCGTTTTTTTCTGTTCGACACTTTTACCGAAGGTAATTGTCTTAGACTCTTAGACCTCATTTAAAATCAAGGATATGAGAATTGATTTCAACCCTAACAGCTCCTAAATGCCAGAAATCTCGTCAGTACAACTGACGTTTTCCATCTGTTCATCCAAACATCAACGAACTTTACTAGACAACTGGCAAAAATTTATGAAATTTGGCAAACAAGACCAAGAGGTACTTTGAAATCATTTTCAGGTAAGTTCTTTACAATAAAATGACCAAAAAAGAAAAAGAAAAGAAGAGTCTGTACAGATCTACGAAGCAAAAAAAAAGCGACAACAGAATTCAGACGCCAATCCTTCAAAACAGCGAAGCAGCTGAACATTAAAAGCAGTTCACGGAATCCGCATCAACCTCACCGAAGAAAAGTCAGTAATGCTACTCTGATCCGTGGTAGTGGCAGTTTGCCCATAAATTTGTTTATGGCGCGAAATAACTGGGGATTAGAACACAACGGGTGAACGGTCTGTGCTCCCATCAGACTTCCCAGTACGTTTGAGGCTTTCCGCTGGTTCTTTTTCCTTTAATTGCCATCCTTCCTTCTTCTTACTTTTTTTGTGCTTGGTATTTTTTTTTCTGATGTTGCCATCCATGATACATAGAGTATAATTGTTGTCAACAAGCAGTCTACAATTTGCGGTTAGTAGTTGCACGAAAAAAATCTCGGTTGTTAGGCTAATGTTATTTATAAAATGTTCACAGTAAACGGCAACTGGCGATTGGCAACAAAAAATATATTTTTAGAATACGCTTTTTTGTTTATCTCAATTGAAAAAAGCGCAGTTTGAATGGAATTTAAAGTTTAATTAATGTAATATCCTGGTGTACCGCTGTCTAATGCAGTAATTGCTTTTTATAAAAAAGTATGAAAAAAAAAGTTTTTTTGGAATTAGTCAGATGAAGGGAACGTGTTTGAATTATGCTAATTTTTTTTTTCTTTGTGATTGTGCTTTTAGTAATAGTGGGTGTTTACTTTTATCTGCCGTTCTACTGGTACAAGTGGGGTGATGTTTAATGTCTTTTAAATTTTTTTGTTCTGAGGATGAAATTGTGGCCAACTTTTTTGGTATCTTGAAGGTTCGATATATTTTAGGTGACGTGATCACAGTTTACCACTTTTATAGCAACAAGATAATTACACCCGTTCCGTTCAGCGTCGCTGTGAAGGATTTAGCAAAAGTCTTTTATGCACTTACTGCGCCGCTCTGGAACAACACTTCTTTTGGTATTAAGTTGGATACAGCCATGTTGTTTACAGCTGCTGTTACTGTCGTTCCGTCGACGACGAAATGTATGAAGCATACATTTTTTTAGTCAGATTTCATTTTTCAACATGGATTGGGCATTTAAGACGTTTAAATCCTTAGAACAATTATTGCCCAATGCTGGTTGACTAAATTAGTTTATATGATTGTGCTTTGAGTTTGACAGTTAAATTAACGAAGAACTGTCAAAGATTGCCCATTAGGGCACAAAAAGATCTGTTTTTGTACAAAAATATATTGTTTTTCTATGATAGGAAATAGTCTAGTCTTTCTGTCACAAAGGCAGATTGAATCTTTGCATTGACTTACAACAAAATTGAGGCTTTGTCGTCTGTTTGTCGTTGCACATACATAAAATGCATCAGCTAAATTTCTATTATGAAAGTTTTTGGGAATCTTACTTTTAGAGTTAATTCTTGAGTGCATTTTTCAACGACATTTTTTTTTTTTAATGAAAACACTAAGATCTATACATTTTTTGATCGTTATTGCTGATTTATAGGCTGTAAAGGTGTCTTCTTTTAAGGACCCCTTCTGAAATAGCGTAGTGAGAGGAATATATTGGGTAGGAGGGAGGCCAAAGGTGAAACTTCTAAGTTGGTAAATAACAAACTGCTGCTGATACAGTAGGTTATTATGTTAACTGTATGTCATTGTTAATTACTATTAATATTTCCGGTCTTCTTTGTGCTTCTGAACGTTACCCGATTACAGAAAATGGTCATAAATGGAAAATTTTGTTAATTAATTTATATAGCATTTCATCTGCGGTGTATTTCTTTGAAAATTTGCTGAAACTGATTCGTTATTTTCCATTGCGACTTATGATACTGGCAAATTGTTTTTTTTAGAGTTCAGATGAACAGAAGTTTTTATTATTTTCTTTCGTTTATGATCGGCTTGGTTTACTCCTGCTTTTTTTTTTTTTTTTTTCAAAGGTTTGGGGGTCCTGCAGTTTCTTCATCAGTTTGAATAATTTTAGTAATGAACTTCTTTGTTAACAGTCTGTCATAGAAAAGGTTTTTATGGTCTTCAGAAAAGAGAGGAAAAAGGCATTTATGATTTGAACATGCAGTATTTGCCCTTTCAGAAGTTATCTGTTACTCTGGTTTGTCAAGACATTTTAGCAGACTATATTACGTTATCAGAAAGCTAGAAATTTTGAGTGCAAAAAATTTTGTAATACACGGCTGAGCATATCAGTACGGTCATCCGATACAGCTGTGCCACTTTCCCTTCAGTTACTTCTCGTATTCTCCAGATATTCACGCCGGTCTTGTTTCTGCATTTTTAGTCACAGCTGAGTATTGTTTTGCCTTATTTTAATAATGTGCAATGTGTGTAGAATAATTATGCATCTTTTTCGTCTTGACTTTCTAAGGAGTTAACGATTGTTTCAATGAATTGAAGATTTACTATTACTGAAGGCATAAAACATTAGTGGTCTGAAGGTAAACAGCTATATCCACAAGATGATGCGGTACTCACTTCAAATCGCTGGTAACTGATTGGATCTAGATGCCCTTATATCTTAAAGACTGAATACCACAAACTTCCTTAGGCTTTGCTGTTAAGAAAATGAAAGGATATAAAAGTGGAATAAATGAAGAAACTTGGATTATCAAAAGCTAAATAAGGGTGCATTTACAAAGGCTATTTTTGTCAAACATTGAAGTTAACGAGTGCAGCATTCGTTTTTACCAGGACGAATTAGCTACAATTATCAAGATTATTCTATATTTATTATATGCAAACTTGATTCTCTTATATTTCATTGAATTTTTTTTGTTTTTCTTTTTCCTTTTTGGAGGGGAGAGTAGGGGTTGGGGTTTCACTCTATTTTGGGAATTGTTTTTGTTTCATGGAAGAAATCCTCTATTACTGGTATTCGGTTCTTTATACCTATTAGCCATATTAATGAAGTATATTAGACTGTAGTGTTTATGAGACGTTAGTGATTTTTTTCCAGATAACTCTAGTTTTTTATAATTTGCTGAATTCATAACTGCTTTGGAAGGTTTTTAGTGACTTGTTCTTCAGCCGCTGTTTTTAAGGGATTTAAGAAAAATCTTTTTATCTCAGTTATTTTTAAGTTCTTGTGAACACTTTGGTGGTCATTAACTCGGTTCATTAAATGCATATATTTTACTTCCTCGAGTGGCTTGCTTTCTTCTGTAGACGGGAGAAGGAGAATCATTTAGCTCGATAATAATCTTGGTCTGATGATATCAGTGTTTTTTAAGTGGTGTGGCGAAACGCCGCGGTATTTTAAGCGGATCTGGTGTCGGGTGGGCAGCGTGCCAAGAAGTATTGATGCTTAAGAAACATTAGTTTTCATCTTAATCCGTAGAACTTTTGACCCTTCATAATAAATTGTTATTGATGGTTACGACTTGTTGGTCGAAGTAGTTTGGAACATGTTTTTCTTATGTGTTCAAGTAATTTTTCACTTTCTCTTCAGGTGCATTTACTGATATTGCTTCGTTAATGTAAAGTAAATGTGTAGAACGTGTGATGCGTACAAAAATCCACTAGTATTTTGAAATCTATTAAATGGTTTTCAGTTTGGTACGATGAGCAAGCGGATAGCATCATCGTCAGGCTCTGAATCCGGTGGGTCTGATGACAACAATTACCGCGTTAATGGGAAAGGGCATTCGAATGTGGTAGGTGCATGAATCTCCCGTTTTTGCTACAAATATCTTTTAGTGGCAGATAAAAATATGAAAACGTCAGCTTGTTGTGCTTTTGCCACCTTAAATTAGTTCTGCAGTTATTCTTACCATTTCCCATATTAATTAGACTCTGGCTCTAGGACAGTCACAATAATAAGGCATCTGGTTCGGATGGTGACAATGAGAGCCGTAAAAGGAAAGGTAAACGGGACACGAGGCCTAGCCGTACCGTCACGCTAAACAAGAAAGTTATTGAGAGTGGTTAGATTTTATATTCATAGATAATTTTTGTTTTTCAGTGTTATGGTAGTTTACAAAGTGAGCCTGAATACCCTAACTCTAGGCACTTCGGAGGACGATTCTGACAGTGACGGCGGGCAGCCCTCGATGAGTAGGAAAAGGAAAAGGGTAAAGAATACCAAGAGCGGGAGAAAAAAGACACGTGGCGGAACTGCAGGAAGCGCGCGGGAGAGTGAGGAATCGGATGTAATTATATTTCATTATATATAGTAATCAGCTTTTTTGTGATTATATTCCTGAAGATGAAGTTTTCAGAAAACTGAAGTGGATGAGTATGATGACGATATGTTCCTCGATGAGGAGGACAGACGACGTCTACAAGAAATGACTGAGAAAGAAAGAGAAGCTGAAATATTTAAAAGGGTTGAGCAGAGAGAAATATTGTTGGCTAGGTGCTTTAAGTTCTTTTTTTCAAACGCTTTATTGTATTCTTCGCATCGTTTTGCAGTATGTTTGCTCTTAGAATGTCTTTTACAAATGTAACATTTTCTTAGCTTAAGAAACGAGCTTCCTCGCTAGTAACTCCTGCAGCACTTTAGTATTGATTGGAAATGTGGTTTTTCTATTGGTATTGCTGTTTAGGCATGCGATCCAGAAGAAAATTCAGCTGAAAAAGGGTGATGCGGAGGGCGCGTCGAAGAAGGATAGAAGTGAGAAGAAAAGAAAGGAAAGAAAGGGAAGTTGGGAACGAGACTCAGGTGACCGTTGCTATTTTGTTTTGAAATGCCACGTGGGATATGTGAAACACTGATATCAATTTTTTTTTGTTTGGTTTATCAAAGTGTCCGTAGATTTTTTCGTTAGCAGACTAATCTAATACTAAGGTTCCAGTCTTTATAAATGTTTTTAGTTGAATTATTTTGGTTTTCTTAGGTAATAAATGTTTTTATTTTTCCTTGTACTCACTTCAGTTTTCTTATCTTACGAGATATGTGAGGACTGGAGGACTTTAACAAGATAGGTTCTGTGTCTTTCCCAACTTTTGATGAGTAGTAAATTTGTAATTGGCTTAATTTTAGTAATTGCTGTTTTGCTTTAATTGATCTTCGCTGGTGACTTAGTAATTAATCTTTCCTCTTCTTGAATGGGAAACTAATTGGAAAATTTCAGTTAAAAGGAAAATTGAAGAGAGCGATGAGGCGGATGAACAAGCGGAGGAGACCGTTAAGAAAGATATAGAAAGTTAGGCCTAGCATACTTTTCCTTATATTTTGTGTTGGATTCAATTTTCTTGTCTCTCTTCTGATACAATATTTTATTTAGTTGAACAGAAGTCGGTGGCGGAGCAAACAAAAGTTAAGGATAATGCTTCAGATCATGAAGTTGGATTTGATGAGTACGAACGACCGTCGGAATTGCAGAGAAAGCAAAAGCAAAAATCTGCAATGGCTGATTTACTGAACAGGCGGAAAGAGAAGCGCGAAGGTTAGTCCCCATTGTTGAGAAAGTGTTAGATATTGTATACTACAAAATTAATTTTAGCTGAACAAAAGAAAAAAGCTGAATCCCGTAAATCTGCTTTGGATATTGATGAAATTTTTGGGAAGGACGATAGTGACGATAATGAGAAGAGCTCGAGCTCATCTAGTCACAGCTCTAGTCGATCTTCTTCAAGATCGTCGACCCATAGTCGCAGTCGTACCAAATCACCAGAGAAGAAACGCGAAGTGATTATCTCAGCTTATTTTAT